CGAATACAAGATATCAAGGGTTTTGGGTATATACCCAGGAGAGGGAGGGATTGCTGGGTCATATGATAGCTTTATTCTCAAATTTTTGAAAAATCTCCAGACTGCTTTCCATAGTGGTTGTATCAATCTATATTCCTACTAGCAGTCGGATGAGGGCTTCCTTTCTTTCTACAACCTTTCCAATACTTGTTATTTCTTGTCTTCTTGATAATGTCCACTCTAACAGGTATGAGGTGGTAGTTTGATTTGAATTTCCCTAATTGCCAGTGAGGTTGAATATCTTTATATATATATGTTTGTGTGTCTTTTGGGAGAGGTGTATTTTCAGGTCCTCTGCCCACCTTATGATTGGGTTGTTTGTTTGTTGTTCAGTTGTATGAATTCTTTATACCTTTTGGAAATTAAACCTTTGTTGGAGCTACTGTTTGTAAATATCATTTCCCATCTTTGTTTTGTTCTCAGTTTCTTTTGCTATGCAGAAACTTTTTAGCTTGATACAGTCCCATTGATTTATATCTGCTTTACTTCCCTTGCCTTTGGGGTCAAGTCCATAAAATGTTCTCTACCACCCAGGTCTATAGTTTTGTACCTATATTTTCCTCTATGTAACTTATTGTTTCAATCTTATATTTAGATCTTTGATCTATTTTGAATTAACTTTAGTACATGGGGACAAACTGTAACCCATTTTAATTTGTTTGCATGTGGCTTGCCAATTTTCACAGCACCATTTATTGAAGAGAATATCTTTGCTTCTATAAAGATACTGTGTATTTCTGGCTCCCTTGTAGAAAATTATCTGTCCATATACATGTGGTTTTATAGCTGGACTGTATTCTGATCCATTGATCTGTATGTCTGTTTCTCTACCCATACCATGCTGTATTTATTATCATAGCTTTGTAGTATAATTTCAAGTCAGGTAGCATGATAGCTCCAGCTTCGTTCTTTTTTTCTCAGGATTACTTTGGCTATTCATGATCTTTTGTGGTTCCACACAAATCTGATGATTTCTTGTTCTATTTCTTGGTATTTGGATGGGGACTGCATTAAATCTACACGTTGATTTGGGTAATATGGCCATTTTAACTATGTTGATTCTTCCAATCCAAGAACACAGAATTTTTTTTTTCATTTTATTGTGCTTTTTCAATCTCTTTTAATAATGCTTTGTAATTTTTAGTATATAGGTGTTTCCTGTTCTTTGTTAAGTTTATTCCTAGGCATTTTATTCTTTGGTTGCAATTGCAAAAGGATTTTTTTTCCATTTCTTTTCTGACATTTGTTGTTAGTATGCAGGAAGGCAATGGATTTTTGCACATTGATTTTTTTTTTATCCTGCAACGTGACTGTATTTCTTTCTAATGGTTTTGTGTGTGTGTGTGTGTGTGTGTGTGTGTGTGTGTGTGTGTAAAGTCTTTAGGGTTTTCTTTTTTTTTTCTTTATTGATTAAGGTGTTATATATGTGTCCTCATTGCCCCATTGCCCTTCCCCTCACTCATGCCCTTACCCCCCTGGTGTCTGTGTCCATTGGTTAGGCTTATATGCATGCATACAAGTTCTTTGGTTGATCTCTCCCCCTTATCTCCACCTTCCGCTACCTTCCCTCTGAGGTTTGGTGGTCTGACCAATGCTTCTCTGTCTCTGGATCTGTTTTTGTTCATCAGTTTATGTTGTCCATTATATTCCATAAATGAGTGAGCTCATGTGATATTTATCTTTCTCTGACTGGCTTAATGCAGAATCATATAGTCTTCAAAAAGTGACAGTTTGACTTTTTCCTTCTCTATTTTGATGCCTTTATTTCTTTCTCTTGCCTTATTGCTCTGGCTAGGATTTCCAGCATGATGTTGAATAAGAATAATGAGAGTGGACATCCTGGTCTTATTCTTGATCTTAAAGTAAAAGCTTTCAGTTTTTCACCATTGAGTATGATATTAGCTGAGGGTTTATCATATAAGGTTTTTATTATGTTGAGGAACTTTCCTTCTATTCCTATTTTATTGAGTATTTGAATCATAAATGGATGTTGTATTTCATCAATGCTTTTCAGCATCTATTGATAAGGTCATATGATTTTTATCATTTCTTTTATTAATGTGGTATATTATACTGATTACATTTGTATATGTTGAACTGTCCTTGTGTGCCTGGAATGAACCCGCTTGATTGTGATGTATTATTATTTTTGATGTGCTATTGTATTTGACAGAAAATGTACACACAGCGAATGTACACAGCAAATGAAATTGCAAGATTTTCTCTAAAGACAAACTTAAGACTTCCAAATATCAAATGCAATGTAAGCATAATAGTTATCATATTGAAATAAACTGCAACATTCAAATGCAGCATTTTATTTGGTTTTATTTGATCTGAAAACGTTTTCTTCAATTGCTTCTATGGAAATCAAACTAGAATTACTTCATCTAATCATGTTTCTTCTACAATTCTGAAAAAGAAAAAAATGGTATGTTAGCATATAAATATTGTCATTGGCAGCATCTTAATTTCATCCTCTTATTCACTCCTTTGATGAACATCTCTTTGTCTTTGCCCCTTGTGCACAGCCTGTGACAGGAGAGCATGTGGTGGGATATCAGGAGCGCATCTTCCAAAGGACTGATGGGCAGAAAGGCCCTGGGATGGGCAGGGGCCCTGTGACCAGTCAATAGTTACCCATTTGTAATTTTCACCAATGGCTGACCCACAAGATTTCTTGTGAAAAAGAATTTGTCAGAAAATATATATTAAACAAAAAGAATGGAAGATGTAATCTCATAAATAATCTTATAATTCACAAAAGACACAGTGATTCTATGTTTTAGTGTTTGCTGTGTTATATAACGTTATGGAGAGGCCTTCTTATAAACAGTTTTTCAAGAAGCCTCGGGATTACCTTAATTTTGAAACAAAGGGACACATTGCTCTGAACTATCCATTTATGATCATGAATGGTCATGCGCCACACCCCTGACCATGCATGTCCCTTAGAAGTGAAGGGTAATCGGTGGACACAAGTCACCAATTGTACAGGTGTCTTCACAGACACCCTGCCCACTACTGAGGACTCTCATGAAAACCAGGACTGAAGTTAAGCAATGAATTATACTCATTCTGAGCTTGGATCTCCTTTAATCTCCTTGACCCCTTCAGGGTTAGAGGCTAGCCTAACTTCATGTTTTAGAAATAAAGCTTTATTGTAACACAGATACTCCCATTTTTTTTTTTTTACATAATATTTGTGGCTGCCTTCATATTACAATAGCATGTCTGAGTATTTTAAACTGAAGCCATATATACCAAAAAACCAAAAAATATTTCCTCTGGAGCCATTAGAGAAATATTTGCCAGCTCTGATATAGTGATAACATAAAATTTCACTAAGCCAAGTATCATAAACATATTTTATGAGCTACTGTAAACATTAATTTACTCAGAAAAGAAATAGGATGTGTAAATATAAAAGCAATTGTGATAACAAGCTTATCAGTTAACAAAGGGAAAAAAACAATTTATGTTTTCTCTACTAAAAAAACCTTTTGCAGCGGACGCTATTGGAATCATAGTCCTTACATTCACTTTATAGGTAAAAGTACCTGAGTTTGACATTTAATGCATGAAGCTTGCTATGTTTCAAGGAATCCAATTTGGCCCAGAGTGCCTTGGTGTTTTCACAATACCGAGCCTTGCTGTAATTTGGAGCCATTTCTCTCTATATAAATTAAGTGAGATGCTAGCAGTGGATCATAAGACAAATCCTTAAATCAATATGAGCAGCCTGCCGTGACCTCAATAGGAAAGCCAGTTTTCTCATTAGTGTGGTGTGGGTCAGTCTCTTCCATTTTCTATCTGGACAGAGGGTACCTACTGAAATAGCTGGACGATGGCTGTAAGAATATGATAAAAATGCACAGATATACTCACCACTGAAAACTTGTCATCAGCTTTGTTCCAAAGAGTTGTTTTTGGAATCATCCTTCTGACTTCTAAGATTTTTTCTTACTGTAGACCAGGAAGAGAAAATGTACATTTTAAGGCTCTTAGATGAAGAAGCATCTAAAGAAATGATGATGTATAACTTGTAATATTATTTGTGCTCTGTAAACTTCTCTGTGGTCTAAATAATTATCTATAATGCTATTAATTGATTATGAAGTGGTCCTGAACCTTAAAGAAGCTTAAATTATCTTTCCAGGATTATACTCTCCTGGACAAAGAGTGTCATTTTGTCTGTTTTCACCCATCCAGAATTGTCCCTAACACTCACCATGTAAACAAAAATCCTATATAATAAAAGCCAAATATTCAAATGGTCCCCTCAATCGGGAGTTCAACCAGGGGGCGGGGCTGTCCAGCCAACTGCGAGAAGGGAGGCCCTGGCCAACGGCCTGCAGCCACTAAGGACCCTACCTGTGCATGAACTTCGTGCACTGGGCCTCTAGTAATTGGAATAAAAAGAGAGAGCACCCCACTTCCTATGTATTGTGCTCCAATGTCAACACATCCTAGACAGACTCGGGCCTTACTGAGTCTCAGGAGACAAAATAACTCAGAGCTTAATTTAGTAAAATAAGGGAGTTGAAATGCTCATACACGGAGTTTCACGTGATACCAAATTGCTAGTGGACTGAGCTTCCCATGGTTAAAATCAGCTCTTTTGATAAAACTTGTTTCCAGATTTAGAGTAGATATCTCTATAGTCATCTTTTTTACCCCTGGAGACACAATAGAGTCAACTGGGGAGGCTTAAGAAATACCCATGTCTAAAGCCATATCTGTAGAGGAACTAATTTCCTGGCAATGGTTTTGGGTAGGGGCCAAACATGGTATTTTAAAAATTCTCCAGGGTTGTCTAATGGCACCAAGGTTAAGAATTCCTGCTTCAGAGTATAGATAGTGAGATAGATAGATAAGGCTCCATGTGTCACTTGTATTTTGAAAGTCATTTATAATTTCTCAATTTAGCAAGTTTGCTATTTCTTATTCTCCTTAGACAATTACTTCTTTTCTCGCCTGTCAGCCTTGATTTTAAGGAAGCGTTCAAAAGCAGCACCGAACTCTGTATCTGATTGGCGTTTCACTAGTCCCAGGTCTTCTGAGATGTCATTGCTAAGAAACATGAGCAAAAGCAAAGAAATGGTTTAAAAAAATGATATATATGCCAAAATTTCTAGATTCCTAGGTGTCAGCTAAAAAAGGTGTTCCAACACCCCACTGATTTTCTATCACAAATACACTAAAAGGAAAATACCCCTAAGCCTAAAATTGAGGAAACTAGGAATAATCTAACACATTAGGCATTTTGGGGATGTTTAAGGCACATTCTGTATTAACTGAGCAAATGTTTTATAAAAAATACACAAATGGGGAACTATTTACAGTGGTGTTCTACCACTAGGAAAAAATAGGGGGTCAATGGGAAGAAAAGGAACAAAGTAGTACTTTCAACTAAAAAGACTTAAAAAAAGATGCTCATTTAGAAGTTTTGCCCCTGAATGGTGCCATCTCTATAGTAAGCTATTGGCCATTTAAAGAAAGAACCTTCCAGTGCTTGAATTGAGCAGGACAGTTAAAAAGAAGTACTTTTGTTTATCATAAAATTTGCTTCACTTTATATTATGTCTTATTGATCTTTCACTGTGTCTACTTCGGTTTGATTATAGATTTACAAATAATTGCTACCCAGAAAATATAAGCTTGTCAAATGCCAGTGAATATTTTATTACTACAAAGTCTTATTTCCTAATGGTAGGGCCTGGTGTGTCTAACTGTATTGACCACTATCAAGAGTTATCAATTTGAAACAAAGTAAATGAATCATTAACAGTGAAATTATAATTTTCAAATTAATTAATCATCTTGTGTTTGAGAAAAATAGTGTATTCTCTTTACCTTGCTCGTTTTTCAATAAGGGACTCAGTGTATTTTTTGGGAGAATGATGATCCAAGAGACTACCAATGTCTCTGGTGGAAACTACATCAGCAAGTCTGACATTCCTAAAACAAGGAAGACAGAATAGGCAGTATTTTAGAAATGATTTTTACAATGTTACTTTGATCAAATGAGTATGAATAAACTTCATCAATTTACTATGCAAACTTAAAATGCAAAAAAGTTTCCTTACAACCTAATAAAATATGTTTTTTTGTCACATGTAAAAATATATATTTTCAGACCCAAATTTTGCAAAATTAACAAAATATATTTTTTAGAAGTATATGTAAGGGATAAATAATACTCTGTGACAGAATCTGTAGAACTAGTTCTCCTCTGAGACACGTTGGTGGAAAAAATATTCATTTTCTATTTCATTAATTTAATTTTGGTGCTTTATTCTTCTACTTAGAATCAAAGCATGCACAAAAAATAAGCTATCCTGATTTTAGCACAAATTTGATTATAACTTTTGGTATTTGTTTTGCAATATTAGAGGAAGTTAGGATCTAGCAACCAAGTTTTCTGTTCTAATGAGGAAGCTTCTATTCTTTGTCTTCAGTAGAGAGCAACTCTGTCTACACTTCAATGCTGTTCTTGACCCATTGCTCTGTGAATGAACAGCTTTTCTCATTACACATCTTTTCTTTACACAGACATGAGGCTTCCTCTAACCTGGAATCCTAAAGTTTTACTAAAATTGGTGCAATTTCTGAATTGACATTTTGTGCAACAGAATGCAAGTGAGTGGTTAGTTCACCTTGGCTTGTTCCATGTTACAGCCTCTGCATGCAAGTCATGTCCAGGGGCACAAGCTGCCATACATGAGGCTGGATGAAGCCATGACATGTGGAAACATGCAGTGTTACACTGCAGAAATGGTTTCATGGAAACACAAAAATAGAACATTTAATTTCAAAGGTACGTTTTCTTAAACACTATTCCTTAAAAATGAGCACATCTGCCATTTTCAGCTAATGCAACTTGCAACCAGTTAAAGTCTTTTTTTAATAAAGCTTGATCAAGGCAATTTTCTCCTTCAAATGGTATTCTTTCACCCAAGTGTAATAAAGTTCTTTCTCACAATATAACACATATTTTTACAATCATTTGAAACAGACATTCAGAATCTTGGGAAGTATCACCCAATGAAAAAAGATGGGTAGCATAACTGACAATGATCTCTATGATTTATGAGAGAATAAGGAGTAAAATTTTGTTTGTCCCAGAAATTGATGCCATACAACGCTTACAAGCTGCTTGTACTAAGCATGAGCTACTCAGTTCATTTTGATCAGAGCATTCAGCCAAGTACCTCTCATTGGTAATATCTTCCTTTTGTGAAGTTAAATTTGACAGGAAGAAAGACTTTTTACAAAATAGAAACTTTGAAAAAAATTTAATATTCAATTAGAAAACTGGGAGCACTTTGAATATTTGTTGGTGTTTAGTAGCATTTGGCTGAAACATTTCTCACTGCTTTTCTTTCTCTAAGTCTCAGCACTCAACTGCACCTTGTTGTGATGCTTCCCTGTATTGATCAGGTCCAAAAAAATCTCCCCATTGCTGAGTAGTCACCCAAATTATATTAATTTAGTGTAACCTTCTGGTTTGTAATCTTGTGTATGAATACAATTTCAGTAAGGGATACATGAAAAATTAATCATGTTGATTTGCAGTTAAAAAATGTTGGCTAGCATATCAACCTAATATTTCAATAAATAATCCATAATTTAAAAAATAACAGAAAGGGAATTCTTCTTTTTAATTTAATTTTTGATTTTAAGTTACAGTTAGACAGACACAAATAACTTAGATTTCACTTGTATATGGAATCCAAAGGACAAAATAAAGGAACAAACAAAATAGAAACAGTTCCATAGATGCAGGGAAATGATTGATAGTGGCCATCGGTGAGGACATTATCATTTCAATGAAGACAGAAGGCTCAACTGAATAGAAAGGGAACTTACCTCAGAGCTTCTGCTTCTACAAACAAGGCCAGTGTTTGTGAGAAGAGCACGCTGAAAAGTGTCAGGGGCAAGAGGTACTGGGAATTCCTTTTGGTTTTCATCTCTGTACCTCAAAAGGGAGAGTCACATCAGATTTTCCATCCATAGATCTCACCAGCCTGGTCATTCTCTCATTTAATTTAATGGGGTGACATTGTCAATAAGATTATATATACATTTCAGGTGTACAATTGTATAATACATCACCTGTATATTGCATTATGTGCTCAACAATCAAAGACTGGTCTCCTTCCACTACCATATATTTCATCTCCTTTTACTCTCTTCATCTTCCTCAACCCTCTTTCCCCTCGGGTACCCACTGAATCATTTAGCCCAAAATACAAGAAAAAAAGAAAACCCAACTTGAATGAGTAACTTTAAAGAGTATTCAGGGAAAGCATCTTCCAAACAAAAGAACTCAAGAGGAGTTGAGGCATTTCTATGCTTACCGGGTGACTGAGAGTCTTCCCTTTGGCTCCAGCAGTTCTCGCCCTTAGAGTTGAACTAGAACTTGGTTCTGGCTAAGGGTTGGGTACTGTTCCCAGCAGCTGCTTCCCTCTACCTTGACCAGCAGTTAAAGCCCATCATTTTATCGGGCTTGTACTCAGGGCTGAGCCATCACAGATCTCTGAGTGACGTCACAGCAGCTCTCCCACAGGATGACTAGGACTGGGAGTTCTTACTTAATTGTTATTATATCTGATTTATATAAATTTATAGTGAGTAAATTCATGAAGTAAAAGATCAAGGAAAATACCCTGTTCTTTAGATAAAGGGTACCAAGAGTAATGTGAAATATTTTAATCTTTTATTAGCAGCAAAGAAATAAGCAAATGATTAATGTTATAGCTAGAAACACTGAGTTTGTTTCAGAAGATAAAATTTTATGTGCCGGAATAGATTTGAAAAACAACAAAAACATTTGATATACTAACAAATTAAATTATAATTATAATGAAATTTGTGCACGGGGCGGTGGGAGGGGCTGGGTGGAGGGGGAGGAAGGCCCGGCCTGCACCCTCTCCAATCTGGGACCCCTCGAGGGATGTCCAACTGCCTCTCGCAATCCAGGATCGCTGGCTCCTAATCACTTGCCTGCCTGCCTGATTGCCCCTAACCACCTCTGCCTGCCTGCCTGATCACCCCTAACTGCTCCCCTGCTGGCCTGACCACCTCTAATCGCCTCTGCCTCACCCTGCACCCAGGACCCAGGATTCCCTCCTCTGGCCATCCTCAGCCACCCAGGACCTGGGTCTACTTCACCTGGGCTGGCTGCAGCCAGAGGGGACCTTGCGAAGGTGGCTTTGCCTGGGCTACAGCTGCATGTACCCGGGACCGTGGGGCAGGCAGCTTGTCCTTCTTCCAGGCCACAGCCGCAAGTGCTGGTGCCCGGGACCATGGGGCAGGCGGCTTATCCCTCTCCCAGGCTGGGCTGCAGGCACAGCTGCTGAAGCCCAGGACTGTGGGGCGGGCGGCTTGTCCCTCTCCCAGGCCACAGCCTGGCTCATCCCTATTCCTCTCTCACAAGCACACTTGTGCCTGCCTGGTTCCCATTCCTCTCTCCCCGGTGTTTAGTGTCTGAGCCATTATGGTGTGATGGCCTGAGGGCATGATGATCATTTGCAAATTAGCTCTTTGTTATATAGGATATCAATTCTCCCACGGCCTTTTAAAAGGTTTTATGCTATTCATGTTGACCCAAATTCATGGAATCTTTTTTGAGATCTACATAAGTTTTAAAGCATAGAGAAGTAATTTTCATCATTTTATGATTACAATTCCTTGATGTTGAAATAATCACAATATAAACATTTCAGAAAGGCCCCATCCTAGGGTAATATGCACCTGGTAGTAAAAGGTAGTAGTACCACTGCTATGTGACATTTCTATAGAATGCCATCCTTCCCAATGCACTTTCTCACACATAATCTAATTTAATAAAAGGGTGATATGCAAATTAACTGTCACTCTGTGACAAAGATGGTGGTGTCCATAGAGTCCGCACCCTGGCCGCAGAGGGAGGGAGGGAGGGAGGGCTGCAGAAACAATGTGGGGCTGCTGGGCTGGGGGCATTCTCTGAGCTGCTGCTGCACAGCTTGGGGCACGTCCCCAGCCTAGTGGACACAAAGCAGGGCTGCCGGGCCAGAGCTGTGCCCCCGGTGGCCACCATGCGGCTCAGGGCATGCCCCCAGCCCAGCGGACAGAGCCCAGCAGACATAATGTGGTGGAATTCCCAGTCCTTTTGGTTTCTGCAGCCCCTGGACCAGAAGCAGAAACCAAGAGCGCAGGGAGCACCAGGAATTCTGGGAATTGTAGTTTTGGTGGCAGCCCCTGGACCTGAGTGGAAATCCAGAGTGCGGGGAGCACCAGGAATGGTGGGAATCGTAGTTCTGGTGGCAGACACGTTGCATGATCTCCTAGACCAGTGATGGCAAACCTATGACATGCGTGTCAGAGGTGACATGCGAACTCATTTTTTTGGTTGATTTTTCTTTGTTAAATGGCATTTATATATATAAAATAAATATAAATCTTTGTTTTACTATGGTTGCAAGTATCAAAAAATTTCTATATGTGACACGGCACCAGAGTTAAGTTAGGGTTTTTCAAAATGCTGACACGCTGAGTTCAAAAGGTTCGCCATCACTGTCCTAGACACTGGAGCAAAGTGAGCCTGGAGCAAGTTACTGTTGCAGGTGGAGGATGGAGGGAAAGCAAAGGTGAGAGACATAAGTAAAGTCAGAGTGTTGAGGAAAAATTAAAAGGAAGATATCCTGCAACTTCTAGGAAATCTCCACAAATGGAGCAAAGAAAAAAAAGACCTCTATTATTCTGTGAGCAACAAACCAAACTGGGTTGGGGTCTCAGATAATTCGCTCATATGATTGCAAAGACAGACAGAAATTTCACTTTTTTATGTAGCCAGGCAGATATAATGCACAACATGCACGTTTTCACGGAAGAGGACTTAACAGCACTGTTTGCTATACACCCTTTGATAAGTCACCTTTCTGGTGGTCATCTGTGTTAGTTAATTGCCATTATCAACAGTAAAAATTAAAACTTTTCTATCTCTATGACAAGCAGGTCCTTACAGCTTGGAGCAAGGCGGCTATCTATAATAATAAAAGTGTAATATGCTAATTAGACCGGATAGCCAAACAACCTTCCAGACATCATTCCAGACATCCTTCCAGATGAAACTGTGGTGGCGGGGCCGAGGCAGAGGCAGTTAGGGGCGATCAGGCAGGCAGTTGAGCAGTTGGGGCAATCAGGTAGGCAGAGTGGTTAGGGGCAATCAGGAAGGCCGGATTTTGAGAGGGTTCAAGCAGGGCTGAAGGACCGCCCCCCATGCACAAATTTTGTGCACCATGCCTCTAGTCCTATATAAAAAAAGCCTAATATGCAAATTGACCGAACAGCAGAATGACCATGGAACGACTGGTCACTATGACGCGCACTGACCACCAGGGGCCAGACACTCAAGCAGGAGCTGCCCACAGCCCGCAGGTCCCAACCAGTGGTGGCGAAGGGGGGTAGGGTTGGCAAGAGGGCGGGGCCAGGCCAGCCAAGGCGGGTGCCAGCAGGGGCCCTCCTGATCGCCCCACTGGTTGCTCTGCAGATCAGCTCTAATTGCCATTCAGGCCTAGGGACCCTACCTGTGCATGAATTTAGTGCACCAGGCCTCTAGTCTCAAATAATTAAAAAACAAATTACCAGATTGTCTACCTCAAGGGATTCAAATTTTCTTCTTTTTCAAAAGTTATACTCATCATTTTCATAAAACTTTGCACTGCATAGAATTACCATGTTTCTCCCCCATTCTCCAACACACACCCACAACCACACCAGCTTTTGAACAGTTCCAAATCAATCACTTGACAAGTGTTGCAAAGAACTAGTTGGCAAGCATGGATAGAGGGCTGTGCTTTGATACACACTTAATTTTTGGTTGTGGGAACTGAATTTACAGTAGCTTAGCATACATTGAACCAGAGTTCAAGGTAAAAGCATAGCCTCATGGACTACTTTATGGAAAAGAAAGTAAAATGGTCTCTACTTTTATCTGTGAAAATTTATAGTATATGTAATTGCTTTACAATTTTGTTCTAATGCTCATGAAGGGAGAAAGACTCAAAAGCCTGATTCTTTCTTGTACTTTATGATTTTAGTATGTATTTGCTTTGTTTAAATTCATACTGGTCCAGTAAAAGAATATCCTGCTGTGCTAATCATACTTTCCAATCTGGTTACAAGGAAAATGACATGAATTACATTTCAAAATATAAGGAAGTTTGTTTCCTAGTTCATAGTTCAGACTTAAGTCTCAGTAAGAGTGGCTGAATTCCAGGAAATCTTTGTGGGGTCTTTTTACAGGATTATTACAAACAAGAGGTTGAAATGATTCTCATAAGAAATTTTTTATCATTAGTTCTTTGTCACCCAAATCAGTGAAGCAATTTGAAATAAGATACTCAAAATCTTGGGAAATATCACCCATTTAAAAAAGATGGGTGGCAAAATTGAGAATGGCTTCTATGGTTTATGAGAGTATAAGTGTTTATCCCAGAAATTGATGCCATACAACTTTTATAAGCTGCATGTACCAAGCATAAGAACTTCTCAGTTCAACTTGATCAGAGCATTAAGCAATGTACACTCTGTTGGTAATATCTTCTCCTGGGAATGTTAAATTTCACCAAAGAAAGATTTTATATGAAACTACAGGACTGGTGCACAAGTTCGTGCACAGATGTGGTCCCTCGGCCTGGCCAGCGATTGGGGCCGATTGGGGCCATCTTGCGCAGTCCTGATCAGGGCCATGGTGATGGCTGGCCGAGGAGGGACTGTGGGAGGGCTCCAGGGCGTGTCTGGCCCGCCTCACCCAGTCCCCATCTGCCAGACCCCAGCAGCAAGCTAACTTACTGGTCAGAGCATCTGCCCCCTTGTGGTCAGTGCGTGTCATAGCAACTGGTCAAGTAGTCGACCGAAAGGTTGACTGATGGGTC